AGAGGCCGACTCTGACAATCGGTCATTCTTCTTCTGTTCTAGCAATAGCCGAGCATCTGTGTATGTTTTCTTCGACCCGTCCGCCTGAATATGACGAACATGTTTTCTCTTTCCTGGAGTAGGAAAGCGGTACTTTGTGAAATCAAGGGCAGGCGGCTCCCACTTCCTAGAGTTAGGATTAGGGGTCGCCTCTCGCCCTTGAACTGGCTTTTTCTTCCCTGAAGTGGAAGGTTTCTTAGCCGACTGCTCCTTGGCCAGAGCAGGCTTCTTGTTGAGCAACTATTGAATCCCTCCCTTGAAGCCCCTCATGAAGGTCATGAGTTCGTTTCTTGTAATGGGAGCAGACCCATCAGCCGGCTGCTGCTGAACAGGCGGTGCGCCGGCTGGATCACTGAGTCCAGTTTGAAGATGTTCCCGTTCCCTCCTTTCGGTATGGCGGGTGCGTCGAGCCCTTAGGGTCCCGTCTGATGCTATGTGAGCTTCAACTTCAAATTCTTCCTCAGTATCATGGTCCGACTGAACTTGAGGGTTGTCCAGGGGACGCCTCTCTTCAGGAGTCGGTACAGACGTGGATGCCATCTCAGAAGTACTCTCCCCACAGACGGCGCCAAAATGTTTCGGGGTTTTCTGATGTCCTGCGGGAGAGTTACAATTCCGAGACTGGAACCGGACGCCTGTACCTGCAAAACAAACGGATGCTCCGGATGATTGGAGATCCGCCTCCGACGGTCAAGTTAGTACCTGATTAAGGAGTAATTAATGCGGAAATAAAAGTGATTGGGTCTCTCTATGTGAGAGTGTTTAATGTGTGTAATCCCTCTTAATGAGGATTAAGGGAGGTATTTATAACCTTGGGAAACGTGCCAATCCTAGGTTTAGGTTAACCTAGGGCTGATTGGGCTTCCCTTGGAAGTTGGGCCTAGGTGGCCGGTTTCTCCATTAGGCATGGAGGATGCCACGTGTCATGACATAATAGGTCCAGGGTGGACGAATAGGCGTGTGCCACGTGGCAAGCCCTGACAGTTCCAACTGAGGGACACTTGGCAGGACCTGATTGGCCCACGTGGCGCATTCCGATTGGTGGGAGCAAAATCCCCTAATCAATAATGACAATAAAATAATGTAGAAAAATATAATGAATCGAGTCACTTGGTATTAAAACTTTGAAATAAATTAAACAATGAAAACATGTGAGAGGAAATATTTAAATATGTAATAGTCATAATGTGCAATTTGATATTTTAGGAGGTTAACTTTAGATCTTATATATATGAAGTAAAAGTCATAATTTAAATATAAACCTTATTTTTATATAACAGTGAATATTTTTTCATAAATTTTTATATGTGGTTAGGGTTACTCAACTCGGTCAGGGGTTACTCGAGTTACTCGGTCATGGGTTATTTGAGGGGTTCGGTCAGGGGTTACTCGAGTTACTCGGTCAGGGGTTATTTGAGGGGTTCGGTTAGGGGTTATTCAGTCAAGGGTTACTTGAGGGGTTCGGTTAGGGTTACTCGGTAAGGGGTTATTCAGTCAGAATTTAACTCGAGTAACCCCTGACCGAGTAACTTGAGTAACCCCGACAACACAGAAAAATCCCTCATTTTTTTTTTGAGAAAGTAAGTTTGGAGGGAAAAGTGTCCTCTTAGTTTTGATTTTAGTAGTATGTAGAATTATAATGTGCAAGTTGACATTTTAGGAAGTTAAATTTATATCTTATATAAAGTAAAAATCATAATTTAAATACAAACCTTATTTTTATATAACAATGAATTTTTTTTTTATATGAAAGTAATTTTGGAGGGAAATATTTAATAATATGGCGCCAAATGTCTTCTTAGTTTTGCTTTTAGTAGTATGTAATAGATATTAATGATTATATATTAAATGTTGATTATCACTCAAATACACTAATGACACATGATTAAATTAAGATTTTAAGGGGGAAACAAACCTAATTATCATTCTTCTAAGGTCATATAAAGAGCTTACATTTTTTTTTAATAAAAAAATTATACTAAGGCCATTCTGTTCACTTCACCTTATTTTTATTTTATTGAAATTTTATTACTGATTTGAAATTATTTTTGCTGAACATTATTTATTTTTGGACGAGTAAGGTAAATATTTTAGACGTGTAGGGTGCAATAGATGTGGTGATGGGGTGGGTATCACGTAATAAAAGGTAATGAGTGATGGGGGTAGGATAATATCAAAATTTATATAAATACATGAGCAGTGTAAACATAAAATAAGTTTGAGATAAACCTATCATTCTATACGAAAAAATAAAATATAATCATTTTCAAAAGTAAAATATTAAGTTTCAAGTGTTTTTAGAGGTCGTAGAGAGGAAAAAGTTGTGTTGTATTATTTATTTATTTTGTAAATATTTACAAGAAGAAATAAATTGTTTTCAAGTAACACATGCATCATTTTGAGTGGTTTATTTGATACTATTAAAATATATGATTAGTCTTATGTATTCAATTTTAGTTTTTTGTGAAATGAATATAAATATTAAGATTTATAAATCGTGCATTGCATGGGTGCTATACTAATTGATAATCTATTTCAGTGGTGAGAACCATAAGAGACATGATAAAATATTTTGAGCTGATTATGAAAAAGTAGACCCAATTATAGGTCAAGTCAGCTTAGGCTTTGGAAAAAAAAGGGACATTTTGTCCACAGGTTAGGGCAAATCGGGCCCAAGTTCGGGTTAACAAATGGAACCCAAACCCAGTACCTAGCTTGAACCCGAATTTAAACTTGAGGCAACCCTAACTCAAATCAACCAATCAAAGCCTTAATCTCATAAGTGGGGTCAACTACATGAATTCAACAGTGATTATTTTGTATAGTCATCCACAAGCTGCCCAAACTCAGATAAGAAATAAAAAAATCCGACCAAGATACCCCAAACCCGAAATTCGTGCCCAAAAAATGTGTCCATAATTGGGCAAATTTCAAGCTAGATAGACTGCTATCAATAGAGTTAGCAACAATAAAAATGATGCATATTTGTTTTGGAAAGACTAATATAAATAAGACAAGCTTTGGAACAAAAAGAGTACTCGTATTATTTATAGTGTAGTCGATCTAAATTTCAGCAAACATTTCAGGATATAAATTTTAGTGATCCAGTTGTAATCTTTTCGAATTTTTTAAATTGAAACGTTTTGACTTTTTTGCACTACTCCCTTAATTTACTTTGACTAATGTTAATAATTTATACATAAGAAAAAATATAGTTCTACGGGCATTTGTTGGAATCACTCAATGAATAGATTATTAATATTTAAGTATTATAATTTTTACTTATTAATAATTAGAGATATTATTGGTCAAAGTTAAAAAAAAACGGATGAATTATAAATGAAAGACATTAGTGGTTAAAATTGTTTATCAGCAAGTTTTACATGTCAAAATAATGCACTATTGAGACCAATCACGTAAAAGTTTACATGAAAGAGATCAAAGTACAATGTTTTTTTTAAAAAAAATAATTAGTTATTTTTTTTTTTCCAATTTACAAAATATAATTATACAAAATAATTAAGAGATCACAACCACTAAGCACTTCTAGCAAATTTCATTTTGTCGTCTAGAAAACAAAATTATTCTATAAATTTAAACTACGAGATGAATGCAATCCTTTAGAAATTGATCCTCGCCTATTATCAAGAGAGAAAAGAGTCTATTTCACATAATGAACCACCACAATAGTTCTACTGTAAAACTATGATTACAAGGGAGTATCCCCTTAACCCCTTAGCCTTTTTTGAGTGATTAAAATTAACAATCTTTTTTCCGCAATATGTCAATGCACAATTGTACTCCTTTTATGTCATAATTCACAACACTTTGATCGACACATATGTCAATGCACAATTCTGACTTTTAATATTTGTAATTATATATTATTAATATTCTGACTTTTAAATATACTTAAAGATTAATCCAAAAATATTTTACTCGTACATGCGAATATATGTTGCTTATATATTGATAAATATAGAGTTAAAGTAAGCATATGAATAGTGTAAAAGTCAAAAGAAAAAAAATGGGTGAGTCGGACTCACGGTGAGTCCATTATATCTGACATTAATAATCTAATGTCAGATATTAGATTATTAATGTCAGATAATAGATTTATCATGTTAGATATTAGATTATTAATGTCAGATAATAGATTTATCATGTTAGATATTAGATTATTAATGTCAGAATTAGATCATTAATGTCATACATTAGATTATTACTGTCGGATATTAAATTATTACTCTTAGATATATGACTCATGTCCGATCTCATGCAAATTGTTCTCAAAAGTCAAATGCAAAATGGATGGAATAGAGATTTTAACAACCGCGAGGCATAAACGAAATGAATTTATGATATCATTGTCTTTATATGGAATATTTAAAATTTTCAAGTTTATTGAAAAAGACAAAAAGGCCCACATTTAATATTTGGGTGATTGGGTCCATTTAATTTAATACTTCAACTCTTAGAGCACCATTATTGGTGAACAAAAAAAAAATGGTTCATGGGTCACTATCACCATTTCTCTCTCATCCACATCAACCCAACAAATCATTTACAATATTCACTCTTAACAATAAACACTAAACAATGGTTCATCATCAATACTCCCTACCCCACCTTATTTTATTTTTGTAAATATAATCTTTTTGTTTCATAATTATAATTTATTAACCGATGTCAATGTAATTAATTGACGTATTTAATATTTTAATCGTGATTACTAATCAAGAAATTATCGCGTTTTTTTATCAGCTTTTTAAAAAATTAATTCTTGTGATTAATATTTTTTAAACAACAACGCAGCTAATTTTAATTAACATAAAAAAAAGGAGGTACAAATCGTGATTACAGTTCTACAACTATAATCTAGTACATTTTATTTAAAAAAAAAAAACACAACTACACATCGTTTTGTAAGATGTCCTTAGGGATAACCATTTGTTGTAAACCTAGTTGCCTAAGTTTTCGTTGTTACCAAATTTATTCCATATATGTTCGACCAAGTCGTTTTTTAGCTGCAAATGAGTCTGTTGATCCTCAATCTCTGTTCTACGAGACAAGTATAAGCCGATATCCACAATACGATCAGTACGGTACTCGGTAGTGTCCTCATTAGCATTCCCTCCAGCATTCATAAACTCATTGGTATTAACGTTATTTTGATACGTCTCTCGTTCATCTTCAACGATTATATTATGTATTATGATGCAGGCGAGCATGATATTGTGGAGTATGTCGGTATCCCACGCCAAAGACGGCTTTTTAATAATGGCAAAACGAGCTTGAAGGACCCCAAATGCACGTTCAACGTCTTTTCTTGCAGCTTCCTGGTGTTTTGCGAATAAACGATCCTTATGAGTTTGTGGACTTGTAATGGATTTCACAAAAGAAGCTCATCTAGGGTAGATTCCATCAGTAAGATAATACCCATTCGTATAATGATGACCATTGACTACGAAGTTGACAGGAGGTGTCCGACCCTCTAAGACGTCTTCGAACACAGGGGATCGATGAAGCACATTAATATCGTTGCAGCTACCTGGCATCCCAAAAAACGAATGCCATATCCATATATCTCTGTCCGCAACTGCCTCCAGTATGAGAGTTGCAACTCCTTCTCTTCCTTGATACTGCCCCTTCCATGCGTGTGGGCAGTTCTTCCACTCCCAGTGCATACAATCAATGCTACCTATCATGCCAGGAAATCCACGTTCTTCCCCAATACGTAGCAATCTTTCCATATCTGCGATGTTTGGACGGCGTAGGTACTGATCACCGAACAGGTTGATGACACCTTCTATAAACTTTTGGAGTGCCAATCGTGAAGTAGCCTCACTTATACGGACATACTCATCACAAGCGTCTGAAGCACACCCGTAAGCTAGTTGTCTAACGGCCGCAGTGCACTTTTGAAGTGGAGACAAACCAAGACGACCTGCCGCATCTCGCCTTTGTTGAAACCAAGGGTCATGTTGGGTCACTACGTTGAGAAGGCGCTCAAACACATGTTTACGCATTCGAAACCGGCGCCGGAACAAGGAACTTGGATAAACTGGGACTTCCGCGAAATAGTCATCGTATAACCGTGCATGACCTTCTTCGCGTCCCCTATCCTTTCGGGGCTCAATAGATTTTCGTCGGCGTTGCTGAGTGGCAGCCTGAATAATTGGTGGAATGTACTCATGCATTACGTGTTGTATCATAAGACACACTTCATTACGTTGTTGAACTCTAAGCTCCCTTCCTTCATCATCCGAGTTAGATGAAGATGAAGGGGAATCGGTTGAGCTTTCGTTTAAACTATTTGAATTCATTTTGTACGTAAGAAATTTAAGATAGAGTGAGGTTTGCTAATAGTAACTGCAAACGATTTATGTGTTTGTGTGTATACAAAATGAAAGAATGGTGTTTATTTACAGTGAACTAATTTGTAATTCTTCTTCAGAAATAGCTGAATATAAAGAGACAAAGATCACATGGGCTATGACAAACAATGAATTACAACCACACAGAAATTGAATGGAGAAGAAGGGTTTCACATGGGCTATGACAAACACTGGATTAGAACCACACAGAAATTGAATGGAGAAGAAGGGTTTCACATGGGCTAACAAAGGGGAAATTAAGATACTGACACAATTATATATAAAGAGACAAATTGATATAATTGAATAAACAGAATAAGATCACATGGGCTATGAAAATGGGAAAGTGGAAAAGATACATTTTATTGATTAATTGATAAAGTACAAACATAAGGAAATGAGGACAAGAGGTTGAACTGGAATTGAAAACTTATCACTACTGAAAATGAAGAACAACAAAGGAATTGAACACACTTAACTACAATAAAAATAAAGGACACTAAGCATCATTATTGAAACGTTGAATATTGTTCCGAAGTATTACTATCATTTCGTCTTCCCATTGCTCTCGGTTTACTTTCTGTTCTAGACGAGATAGTTGCTCCCAGTTGATCCTATATTGCTCTAGCTCAATTTTCCGTTGTTTCCTTGCCTCCTTGCGCTCTTGTATTTCAAGTCTCTTCATTTCTGCTTCGTTTGACACATTCATCGACTCCCCAAAAAGCTGCAATCGAGTGTTGAATGTTTCTAATTCCTTAAATGCTTGACTTGATGGAGCTTTACCCTTCAACCTCGACTTAGCCTTTTTAATACCTTCAGCACGAGCTACTCTCTCATCACCGACACCCACGCTGGTTGGTGTGGTAGGTGAGGAATTGTCACCCTCATCCCGTGTCCTCTTCCCACTACTTCCGCTCCCTACAGACTCATCCGTCAGTGGAGTTGAATGTGGACGTCCCACCGATGGCTTGAATGTTTGTTGGTCCAAGAAAGACCGGAATTTGTCCCACTTCCTTAGTTGGATCCATTCCTCGTAGAAGGTGAATCGTCCGAACGAGTTCTCATGGATTTTGTGGGCCTCTTGGATAACATCATCTTCGTTATAGCCACTTCCCTTTCGCATCCGGGCCTTATCATAGCTTCCGCACCACTTTAACACGGCTTCAGAGATTCGCATCCACCTTCCCTTCAAACTACTAATAGTTCGTAGGGATATTTCATCTGGATTCGATTCCCTGGCAGCATCGTATGCGTCCAAGACTCTCTTCCAAAATACACCCTTCTTTTGATTTGTGCCGATAATTATGTCGGTGCTGGTGTTCATGTAGCCGGATATAAGAGCCGCAGTTTCTGATCGCGACCAACCTCTATTGTTTGAACCACCAACACGATATTCAGGAGTTGATTGGAGTGGTTGCTGTAACATTTGACTGAAGTTTTGATGGGGAGAAGGAGTTTCATTTCCCTCACCATCATCCTCACATTCTTCATTTGCCTCATCTTCTTCATATAAGACATTGCTCGATTCCCAAATATTGGGATTCGGTTGTTGTGACGGAAAATAACCAAATGCAACACCATATTCACCGTAACCCATTGGTATCATGGATGGATGTGGGAAATTTGAACTGCTTTGAGAAAAATTAAAATTTTGAGGGAAATTTGGTGGATTATATGGGAAACTTGACTGGGGTATTTGAGGATAAACTCCAGAAAAATTATGGGGAATATTTGTGGATGTTTGTGAAAAATTTGGGTGAATTGGAGGAAAATTAGCTTGATTCGGGATCATATTTTGACCCAAATTTTTTTTTTGCTTTCTATTTGTTTTGGGGTTGGTATTAGCATCCATAATTATAATTTATATTTGGAAAAAATAAAAATTTAATAATAATAATAATAATAATAACAATAATAATAATAGAAATAAAAATAATAACGATAATAATAACGATAGTAATAACGATAATAATAATAATAATAATAATAATAATAATTATTATTATAATAACAACTATGATAATAATAATAATAATAACAACGATAATAATAATAATAACGATAATAATAATAATAACGATAATAATAAAAATAATAATAATAATAATAACGATAATAATAAAAACAATAATAATAATAATAATATTAATAATAATATTAATGATAATAATTAAAAATAATAATAACAATAATAATATTAATATTGGTATAAATAATAATAATAATATTGGTAATTATAGAGGGGATTTTTGAAGAGAAAAATATAGTAGAAAAAAATGAATTTTGAAAGTTGAAAAAAATATATCAATATGGGCGTCTATTTATAGAGGGGAAAAAAATAGAGTCGTTGGTAATTTTTTTTTTTTTTTTTTGATTTGTATTTTGTAAAATATATCCGTTGCAAAATTACAACGGATATATTTAAAACAGTGCACACGTGTCAAGCAGCGGCTGGGCCAAGTGGCGCGCTCCCAGCCGCTGATTTCTATTTGTTTTTTCTGAGCTTCAACAGCAAAACGACGTCGTTTTGCTATAATACCAGTCCAAGATATTGGTGGGGCCCACAGCGAATTAATTCATGGAAATGCTTGCTCCTGCAATCGAACCCATGACCACTTAACATGAACCATTAAAGGTTTGCCATTAAGCCACCACTTTATTTGTTTATTCATTGTGAACAATTAAATAGTTCACCCTTAAAGATGCCCTTACGGAGCATTGCTTAGTTTTGTGTGTGACAACAATTTATTTATTTATTTTTTTTTAAAAAAAAGTCCACATATTAATATCTCATTATTATTAATTAATAATTGATGAATTTTATAGCAATGGTACACACGTCATTTTCATTTATGATGACGTGCTACGTATTCTTTCACGAAAATGCTACTACGAGCTTTTGTTTTGGAATTAGTACAAGTAACACTCGTCTCACACTTTAATAATTTTGGTCAGTTTCATACCACCAACTTGCTTGATATAATTCGCCCTTTTTATGTCTCATATATATAATGGCATTTGGTTGCTAATACTAAGATTTAATAATGCACATGAAAAACAAAACTTTATAGAGTTAGAGTGAGAAAGATAATAACAACGAACTAGCTTAGCTAGCCATGGAGATCAACAAAGAGCAAGTACATTCTTCTTGGTTACCATGGTGTTGTAGTCGGGGAGCATTTTCGACAACTTCGAGCGAGGTCCCTTTGGATGAACGAGAAGCTCATGAGGATGATGAGAAACGAGTCGTTATGGTGAGCTCAAACTCGAAAAAGCCCGGTGGATGGAAATCTATGCCTTTTATTCTAGGTTGATCTCTCTTCTCCTATCTTTATGTCTAAATTTTCTTATATACACTTAGATTGTATCGAGTTTTAGGTACAATATGTACACCCAATCATTCACGTACGTACAATACTTCGTATTAATTACTCTATATATTCTAGATAAAAAGTGAATTTAATAGCTATGGAGTGTGTTTTAGATGATATATATGAAACATACGAAGTAAATAATAGACTACATGTTGTTGTCTATTTTACTATAAATGGGTAATGACTCTATGCATGTTTTTAGTATTTAAGATTTTTCTTTTAAAAAAAACAATAATAAAAAATAAATTAATCCTAATTGATACTTATAGCAATATTCAAACTTTGAATTTTAGCTTTATCTGATCTTGGCTTTACCGATAATTTAAAAATGTTATTATATATTGAGACAATTTAAATTATTAAGGCACAATTTAACAATTTTGAGAAAAGATGTTAAATGATTTTTTAAATGCAAAAGATATATGCAGCCAATACATAAGTATGTTTATTGAATTTTCCTTCCGGACCTTTTATGTCTTAAACACTTTAAAGCATTTTACAAATTGTAATTCTACTATTATTTGACACAAGACAACATGGTTAAGGAAGATACTTCCATGTATGGTAAATTTTTCAATGCACATCTTTAATTTTCGGGTTTTTTTTTTTTTTTTTCTGAGAAAATATTATTGGGAGTCCCCCCCCCTTCTTGTGGTAAAATAATCAATTAATACTAGTAGTAGTAAGTTTTGAAGTTTAATTACCGTTAATTTAGAGAAAGTTTGGGACAACACAAAAGATCACTAAAATGAATAAAGTAAGCTTTAATTTTGGTTTGGTAATCTAACATTACAGATCTTGGTATTTGGTTGATTTAGAAGTTAAAGTTATTGTACAAAATTTGAAAGTTTCCTTTTTAAATTTTCATTAATACAAGTGAAATTTCGCAAGCGTTCGTTGTATCTTGTATGTATAAAAGAAATGAAGTACTCGTAACAGAAATGACGTTAGTCAGATGCTCAGAGCAATGAACATGCAAAAGAGGGTATCATGCTTAACAGAATATTGTTACAAAGGGTTTAAATACTATTTCCACTCAAAATTAATTCAGATATCACGTTTTTACCATTTGATTCAGAAACACTATCAATGGGATGATTAATTATTGACATACAGAGATAGTATACACTTCAAAGCTACAATTTAAATTTGTTATAATCTAATGTAGTTATAATAATCTGAAAGATGTATAGTACTTACAATTGAATCTAATGTTTCATTTTGGCAATTTACGTGATTATGTGAATAAAATCCATTAATCATAAACGTAATACATATTGTAGAATTTACTTTGCAATAGACACATTTGAAGTTGGTACGATAACATAATTCCAAATACCTCATGACAATTAAAAGATTGTACTAATGTACCACTCCGTAGAAAACAAGATTGCACACACACGGTTTTCATTTGAGCTATTATTAGCCCTCTACCACATCACAAAATGTCTAACCTCAAACCTAACTTAATATATTTCTAGGCTCCTTCCGCTCCTTACTGTTTGTAATGTTTGAAGTATTTTTTGGAGATAAAAATGATCAAAGCGTAATGAAAAATAAAATAAAAATTGGAGAAAATAACTTTTAAATAAAGGCAGACAATTATTGCACAAATAAAAAAAAAGTTGAAAGATCTAAGCCGGAAAAAAAAAAGTAAAGGAAAATAGCACTTAAAAGAGAAACTAAGAAAAGGAAAGGATCCACTTCTACAGAAATTTTTAGCTAGACTAGAGGACCATTGGTTCATCATAGTGCACCCAAATTTTTTTAAAAAATCTCTGATCACTAAATCAGTAAATCTCAACCACAAAGCAACATAAGTAGTACACGATAGACTTATCCTCAAAAAGATTAAGATTTTAGTGTTATGTTTTTTACTTTTAAAAAAATAGTCCCAAATTGCTAGTTAGACTGAAATTGCATGTTCATTTCTGTTCATGACATAGATCCATGCTCTACGCTTTATCATGACCCGGTGACCTAATTTCCGCGCCTATAAAGGAGTTATGTACGATTATTGAAGGATAGTAACATAGACGAAATTTAATTCCAAATGGTCATTACCTTAATTAGACTACAATACTAGTTGCATGCATATATAGGAGGAGCTATAGTCTCTGTTTCACATTAGTTCGGTAACTCTTGGATTATTATCTGTCAGATATAAAAAAATCTAAAGTTGTAACTATGTGACTATGTGAGACAGAGGTAATATTTGACTTCCAATAATCTAAACTTATTATCATGAGGACAAACATGTAGCGCACGTTTTGGACGTTTCCTAAACTACATGGCTACTTTGAATCGGGTGTATCGAATTTAGTTCCTCTATCTCTTTGTCTATCCTCAATTCATGACACTAGGTTGCCCTCCCAAAAAAGAAGTTATTATTGATTCCTAAGTTGGTACATCAACCCTCAAACTGTCCTCTAATAATAGATTTAGGACTAACCGAGATCCTTCTTCACCAATTTCCAATTAAGTTGAGGCTGAGGGAAAAGCAATACCTGGTGTTGGCTTGTAGCATGAAGAAATAAATTATAGTGTACAATTTGGTTATAGTGAATAAGGTCTCATAGAATGTGGAAATATCTTCTTCTTCGATAGTTTTATGCATATATTGTAAATAATATGTGTACGTTTGATTAAAAATTAGCGATGACACATAGTGTACTGACATGACTTCTAGAAAATCTAATCTCTCATCTAGAACGAGCAAAAAAAACCATGAATTTTGTCTTAATAAAGCATACATATATGTATGAAAGAACTTGTAAATAAGAAAAAAGAACAACGGATGAATTTAAGGAAGTTTAAAGAATTATGATTAAATAAATAAGGTCAAATTCATTTTACATTTTGCTTAATTGTAATCTATAGCAATTTACAAATGAGTTGGTAGATTTTAAAAATTGTGGTGGTTGCAGGAAATGAGACATTTGAGAGGCTAGCAACATTTGGGGTACTAGCCAACTTTATGGTGTATCTAAGGCGTGAGTATCATATGGACCAGGTGGCCGCCACTAACGTCATCAACATCTTCTCTGGGGTGGCTAATTTCGCCCCTTTGGTTGGCGCTTTTCTTTCCGATGCTTTCATTGGACGCTTTTGGGCTATCGCTATTGGTTCTTTGGCTGCTTTTCTGGTATGCATGTTCTCTTCACCTTATTTAAAAAATTCATTAAGGATCAAACTAGATTTGACAATAGAATAAAATCAAACTTTATGATTTGCGTGCATATATTTTCTTATAATTGAAATAATATACATCAAAACATATTTTACAGGCCTACACTTGATTATATGTTGTTTAATTTTCTTATATATTATTCTTGTACAAATATAATAAAAGTTTATTAAAAACAGGCTGGAGAAAACATTAGGTTAGACTTTATATGTTTATGGACTTTTTGTCAAAAATTACTTATTAAAAGCCATTTTTTGTGAGAAACTAACTAATAATAAAAATGTTGTAAGAAACTACCTATTAAAACTAAAATGTTGTAAAAGACTACCTTTCACCGGATTTTCACCATTGACTAATTCCTCCAGCATTGACCACCCACATGCCGATCACATTACCTTTTAAAACCATTTTTTTCCATGTCGCACCAGCAATGCCACGTCCCTCACCACTGCTCCACCACCGTGCCATTTCAACTCACCACCACAACACCCCCAAAACCGCCTCAAAACACCCCAAAACCACCCTCACGCATCCCCAAAACCAACACAAGCCTTCATTCCTTCGCAATTCCTCATCGTACTTTCGAACGATATCACCGCACACCACACGCCATCAGCTGAGTGTGGTCAACACCGCAAAAATTAGTCAATGAAGGAAATCCGGCGAAACATAGTTTCTTACAACATTTTTTATTTTTATAGGTAGTTTATTACAACATTTTTATTTTAATAGGTAGTTTCTTACAACATTTTTTTTATTAGATAGTTTCTTACAAAAAATTGCTTTTAATAGGTAGTTTCTGACATAACAACACCTTATTTAAGATTTTGTCCATATTTACACATGAAACTTGGGATTAAAAAAAATACAGCATAAGAACACCTTAAATGTAGGTCTATGGAGGTTGCTGCAATTGAATTGCATGATCCACACGAGTAAAGCATAATTTTATGATACAAGCTAAGGGACGCATGCATAATGTTAGTGTAATATAAGATGATTGTTATTGTTCTATGGTTGTCGTTTGAAAAATGACAACCATAATTTTAAAAAATGAACGGTTAAATTTAATGATTTCTGAATTATTTTTAAATGTTAATATTAATTAAAATTAATTTAATTATTTCTTGATTTAATATGATTTAATTTTTTGATTTTTAATTTAATTAATAATTAATAATAAATTTCATAAATTAATTTGAAAAAATAGAAACTTAAAATAATTAATTTTCAAAATTTTAAAATAAATTGCTATAATAAGAAAAATGAATTTTGAGCCTCAAACATTGCAAAACATAACTAACCGTACACTAATGAAAAATACTCTTATACATATGCATGAGCAAGTATATCGAGTGTCAACGTAGGATCATGTGCAAATTGGGTCATTCATGTGTCATAAGCTGTCACTGATTTGTACATGTAAAATCCATGCCAATCAACTTACCACATGATCCTACGTTGATTCTTTACTTACTATTCATAATAATTCTAACGTAATAATATTGGCCTACAATATGTAAATCTATTATTATTTTCTATATAACCTTTAAGGTAGTTGTGTATGTGATCAACTACTTTAATTGGTTAAACTTTAAGGGGTGGTGGTACTCAAAATTCGAGATTGAATTTTGTCTACACTATTTACTATTGACTATTGTGACTCTTTGTTAAAGAACCAATTCAACCAAAAACTTAATCTGATGGTTGAAGATCAGGATCAGTTTATATACTCTATCATGCCCCCTCACACAAAAGTCCATTGAGCTTGAAGTGTGGATGTGGCACGAGTCCCACCATATCTAGCGATTAATATTCCACTTTAAAATAAGGGGTGGATGAAATTCGAACCCAGGACCCTTTATGTCACGCTGACTCTTGATAACACGTTATAGGACCAATTCAACTAAAAGCTTAACCCTAAAAAATAAAATGTATTGAAATTAAAAACCTTCACAGATAGTTATTAAATAAAATATAACTTTACAAGGTTAAGAGTAAAAGCATGGACTTTCTAGAAGGCTAGTAGCATATTCAAATTTTAGGATAATAAAAATTGATTAAGCACACAACGACGTCTAACCACGCTTTAGAAAATAATGTAAGGCATCAAGACGTGTCATGGTGAACTGATGCAGAAGGGTAATCAATTAATCATAGAAGATCCAAGTTTGACAAGATTGAACTTCATATCTGCCATTGAGAAAAATATCATTTAAGTATATTATAAGAAAAGAATAGTAATTCGTTTGTCCAATGTTTATTTACTTCATAATGTGACTTAAGTTTTGAGTCAAATTAGAGTAGGTAATCATTATAAGATGGAGGGAGCTTAGTAAGTAACTAAAAATGAATAATCATGGAATTTTTTTTTTTTTTTTGATGCAAACATAATCATGGAATTTCTGAGTTGTAAATGAAACTAATAATGGCATATATAAAAGGAGATGTTGATGTTATACACGTAAATTACGAAATGATATGGAAATTAATAAAATAAAATTATTCAAAAATTTTGTCAATAATGTTAGTGTACTTCAAACTAGGAAACTTTTTATATCCGAATGACTTTCGATTATGTTTATATATATTTTTACTATCGACGTAAATATCTATTGTACGTCCGGTTTATTTAAAAATTTGTTGAAATGGTACAAAATAACAAGTCTTATTACTTTGACAGGGAATGGTGGGCCTAACATTAACAGCATGGATCCCTAACCTAACACCACCTTGGTGTCCATTCAATGACAGCAAAAATGTCCAAACGTTAAACCCAAAACAAATGGGCTCATGTCAACAGCCCAATGGACATCAATTGGGCTTCTTAGTCCTCAGCCTTGGGCTACTCTGCATAGGAACAGCAGGAATAAGGCCCTGTAGCATACCATTTGGAATGGACCAATTTGATCATACAACTGAAGAAGGAAGAAGAGGGATTAATAGTTACTACAATTGGTATTACACAACTTTTACAATTGTGGTAATGTTAACTCTTACTGTTGTTGTGTATATTCAAGACTCAGTGAGTTGGGTTTGGGGGTTTGGTATCCCTACGTCTCTTATGTTTTGCTCTATTTTGCTCTTTTTCTTTGGGATGAAGTTGTTTGTGTATGTCAAGCCTCAAGGTAGCATCTTCTCTAGCATCTTTCGAGTTTTCGTTGCAACATATAAAAAGCATCACCTTGAACTTCCTCATAATGTCGAGAAGGGTGTTTACTATGATCCGCCACCTTCTGGGGTTCTGGAGTCTGTGCTTCCTCTTACTCATCAATTCAGGTAACTACTTTTCGTGATTTAAAAATCTACAATCACAACTTTATACAATCGATATGATAGGTGACAATAAACAATGGTAATTCATGATATGCATCCTTCAATATGTTTGTTCATTGTAATTAAGTGTTAAAGGAATTTCACATATTTAGATGTGGAGTTCCAGTACCCTAGAAATTGCAATAGCCTTTTATTATCCTACACAAGTACACAACTACACAATTAGGAAACCAAAATTATAATTAATAATATTGCTTATCATCTAATTAGTGAAGGATCTTTATTAGGGCTCATAGGGTCCAACCCATATAATTTTTGTAAGAGTTACTAGACGTACAAAATAAATATATTGGTTTAGCTTATATTTTATGTCAAGTGGCAAATTCAGCAACTTTTTCAAGTGTTTCAAATAAATTAAAATTAATTCTTAATCAAACATAAATACTTTTATTACTTAATTAAATAATATATTTAGATTTATTTTTATCGAGGCTCTTTAAATTTTATGCTCGAATCATAACATTACAAATTTATTTCACACTCCCTTTGTTTTTTAAGTGCCCCATACCCTTGGGCACATAGTTTTAGGTAAATGAATAAAATAATATATGAGTAGGTATGGTTAAGAATAAATTTTTTTGAAAAATTAGGAGAGAGAAATATGAATGAGAAGCACTAGAAATAATGTGAGAGGGGGAAAAAATATTATGAAATAATTGTGGGGGTTTAAAGGAAGAGAGAAAAATAATATATAATGTGAGTGTGGTTTCCACTTTTAATAATGGGGCACTTAAAAAGGATAGCCGTTTTTGGGAAGTGGTGCAATTATTAAAAAAAAAAAAAAAAAAAAACAAAAGGCGTAATTCACAATTATCAACCACAATTTTTTGTAAGTGGCTTGCTGTACCGTGCGGCAGGGGTTACTCGAGTAACCCATGACCGAGTAACCCATAACTGAGTAACTCGAGTAACCCTTGACCGAGTAACTCGAGTAACCCCTCAAGTAACCCTTGACAGAGTGAACCCTTCGAGTAACCCCTGTCCGAATCTCTCAACTAACTCTTGACCAAGTAACTCGAGTAACCCCGACTGAATAACTCAGGTAACCTCTAACAAAATAACTCGGGTAACCCTGCCACACGGGGTGACCTGCTGCACCAAAAAGTTGCTGATTATCAACTGCAAATTCAAATTTTCATTCCAAAATAGTACATATATTTTTAACTTATACTATTTTTGTATATATACTGTACATATATCGATATCGTAATATGTTGCTTGTGTATGTTGGCTCATATAGTTTGTGTAAATAAAATTTGTAGGTCGAACTCTCATATTGTTTTCATATAATAATTAGTTTACTTATTCATTTTTTTTAATTCTATGTAACAAGGTTTTACAAGAGTTAAGTAGGGTCGATTGACTCCATTGTTTTAAACTTGACTTCACTCATACCATGATTATATGTCAATAGTTAGATATTTATAATTTCAATTAGAGGTTAAAGTTCGAAAGTTGACTCCATACCATTTAGTCTAAAATCCAACACTGTATCTAATTAATTATTTGTGGATTTACATGGCAGCTTCTTAAACAAAGCAGCAATAATACAAGAGGGTGAAATAAACAAAGATACTTATACAAAAACACCAAGAAGTAAATGGACTTTATGCAGCGTACAAGAAGTTGAAGAAGTAAAATGTGTGATAAGAGTACTCCCAATTTGGGCATCAGGTATTATTTGTTTCACCTCAGCTGCACAACAATCAACCTTTGCAGTCTCACAAGCCATGATCTTGAACCGAGCCATAGGCCCGAAATTTCAAATCCCACCAGGCTCAATTGGTATCATATCCATGCTTACCATAGGAGTTTGGGTGCCAATCTATGATCGTTTCATTGTTCCATCTCTTCGAAAGGTCACGAAACATGAGAATGGCATTACACTTCTCCAACGAATGGGGATTGGCCTTGCTTTCTCGGTGCTTTCGATGATTGTGGCCGGTCTAGTAGAGCAAAAGAGAAGAAATGCGGCAAATGATCACCACCAAATGCTATCGATTGGGTGGTTAGCCCCTCAGTTAGTCATGCTAGGACTAGCAGAAGGGTTTAATTTCATAGCACAAATTGAATTCTACAACAAGCAGTTTCCTGAGAATTTGAGAAGTATTGCGACTTCTATGTTCTTTTGCACCATTGCCGGTGCAAACTACTTGAGCAGTGCATTGGTGAGTATTGTTCATAAGTTTACTGGTAGACATGGTAACCCAGATTGGCTAACCAATGATATAAATCAAGGAAGGGTGGACTACTTTTACTACTTGCTTGCTATAATGGGTGTGCTGAATCTCATATATTTCGTGATTTGTGCTAAGAAATATAAATATAAAGGTAGTAATAATGATAATTCAGAGGGGAAAGATATTACTGACATTGAGCTTGATCTTGTTAAATATTGAAGAAAAGAGAGTTCTGTACTACTTAGTCTTAGCTAGATAGGGTATACATATATGTGTAATAAGCTGAATTTGAGAATCTGCATAGTAGTGTAATCTTTGATCTTTTAATATTATCTAACTCATGTTTTGATGGGTGTAATAATTGAGACTTGCAATTATTTATTTATTTATTTTTATTTTTATTTTTTTTTTCGCTGCAATATATAAAATGCATTCTAACAAAAGTCAAAAGAGTAAAGGTTGTAAAAAAGGATATTTAAGTATGTAGCTAAGATTTCCGAGCCTTTTGTTAGAAATCAATTCAATCAAAAGTTTAAGCTAACGGTTGACACATTGCATTATTATGAATAAGGCACAAGTTAGGCATGAACTAGGTTATATTTAGTAGTCAATAAAAGATATACAAAAATATTTATGAGAGTATTCTATGATTTCTATCACCTTTTAGTTGAAGATGTACTTTTAAGGCTTGAATTCTTTTTTGTATATGTCCCTGTGATGATTAAATTGTATACATGTTGGTATAAGAATTATGTTGTTTGGTCAAATTTCAGTGATGATTAAAGTGAATAGGCAATACAATATGATCTTTTCAACGTAAAAAAATTAACTGTGGCATAAAATTTGGATCCAAAGCCTAACTATTATATTGAATTGGGTGTACATGTCGAGTTCGATTCACGCCTTTCGAGTCGGGTCGTATTGGATTTATATTTTGTTGGGTCAATATCGTTGTAGTGTTCTTGTTTTGGGCGGGTTGGTTTTTGACAACGTTAAAGCCCAATGGACCTCAATGGAACCTGTTCATTACTAAAAAGCCGCTATACTGCTGGGGATAGATCGACGAGCAACGCCAATTGTATAACAATTAGACTTGATTATTAGGTAGGGTAACCCAATGATAATAGGGTTAGGTTAATCTTAATAGGTTCTTAATGGATAGAGCCTTTAATGGATAGAGTCCTTATTGGGTAGGATCAATATGAGTCAAAATATTTTTCCAGCTTAATAGATAAAGAAAGTAGATAATTTAAAAATAATTACATAGAAAAATTTGTATTCATATATACTTATTAATGGCTTTGTCTAATATTTTTTAAATTGATATATTGTTGGTCCACCCATTATCGACCCGTTATCAACCCACGACCTATATTGGCCCGACCCGTTATTGACCATTTAATACGTGACCCTCTTTGATCTGACCCGCAATCGACTCGCACCGATCTTGACCGGACTTGCCCAATAACCAGATCTAATAACAATAATCAATGTTAGACTAACTTGATTATTTTGCTAGGATACGAGCTATTTTGCCTTTTGATACGACATTTCATCTTTTCAATTTTTTTTTTTTAATTAAATGTTAAAGTAAGGTAAGAGATAGATGATAAAAGTTAATAATATGGGTTCCTTCATAACTCATTAGTCATTATTACAAAGTATAAGTGAATTTTAAAACAGTATTAAGATATTGTTTATATGATAGAGTGTATGTAATCCAATGAGAGGATGAGATGATAATATAGAACTACAGAGGTGAAAGAGACCAATTGTGTTAAGTAGTTTATGCGGATTAGTTTGTAAATTTTATAACATTCGGATTTGGATTTATGATTCAAAGTATAGGTAATGTCTATCATTTTTTTTAATTGCGGATTAGTTTGTAAATTATACTATAACAGTTGGATTCATGATTCTAAGTATAGGTCATGTTTATCATTTTTTCCGTTTATAAAAAATGATATTAATATGATGTTTTGATAATATTGTAAATTGTCAAAAAAAAAAAAGAAAAATTAAACGTATTATATGAATTTTAACATGTCGTACCATGTCCCCTATTTTGAGATTGACAATTTCCCATATCTGTTTCGTACCACATCCGTGTCATGTGCCGTTCTTGTGCAACCAAAGTACGGAGTATTCATTAGCATTTCCCTGCTTTTTTTTTGTTTGTCAAAAAAAAAAAAAAAAAAAAACTCATTTCTTCTAACGAAAAATGTTTAAATATCACTCATTTGTTATATTTTTTATTATACGAAATAATTTTTTTTAAATGTCTTATATATACAATTATACATTTATAGTTTTACACGTTAGTAACATCACTATTAACGTATACTAATGTACAGGGTCGTCTTAATCATTTTGGGGGCCCTGTTTAAAATTTAGAAATTGGGCTCTAATAACTTTTTTTTATTATACGATTTTTTTTTCTTTCTCTTTTGGTGTTTCACGTGGTTCACCCTTAAGGCTAATCTGGATTCGAGGATTAGTTTTGGGTGGTTAGGTTACATTCCCCTCTCAATTGTTGTTGCGGGGGATCGAACACGTGTTCATCCCTACCAAGTGTAACCCCAATCACTACTACACCAACAGTCAATTGGTTATTTTACGAAATTATCATATAACAACATTTTAAAACGAAACCAAAAAACACAAACTAGTTTATTTAAATTGTAAATAATATGATTAATATCAAAATACAATCTCAATTATTAAAACATCAAACTATTTAATAAGAGCTATTCCTCTAGCATTTTTTGAAGCAAATTCATCAACCATATCTTCATATTCCACCTTCTCCAAAAGATCATTCTCAATTGCTATCAACGCTAATCCATTAAACCTTTCTTGTAACATGGTAGACCGCAAGTAAGATTTCAACAATTTCAATTTTAAAAAACTCCTTTCTGCAGAAGCAACTGTCACAGGAATAGTCAATAAGATCCTATAAGCAATATTTGCATTTGGAAAACAATCTACATCATTCAAAAATTTTAATTAATATATCAATAGCTCCCATTATTTTTGCTGGCATTGCTGGAAAGATATCTCTTACTCCCTCCGTTCCCTTATATTTTTTACGTTTGAAATTATGCGCGGTTATTAAGAAATTGTGTAAAGTTGAGGTATATTGTAAAATTGAATTTTTGTACAATTCTATTATACATGTGGGGTGAACAAAGTAGAGGAGAGAGGAGAGAGAATGTAATAATGAGTATTGAAAAACCATTAAAATAGTACAAAAAGTACAATAGCACATGGAAAATTAAGGACTTTTGAGTATTAAAATTGTAAAATAAGGGTAATTTTGTCCTAAATTTATCGCTGAAAAAAAAGATACTGAATATAAAGAATAAAAAGGAAAACCTAAAATGGGAATGTAAAAAACAAATGGGAACGGAGGGAGTAATAGCTTTAACTCCACATACAATTCATGTCCATCAACATCAGATTGCCCATTATGTTTTAATGCTTGCTCAAAATGACAACATGACTTCAAAGATGCATCATCTAATTCTAACTTTTTAGAAATAAACATGAACCCAAATATACTTTCATACTCTTGATATTGCTCCAATAGCCTGATCAACAAGGATAAGAAAATAGTTTACTCTAAAAGATTCTTCCCTTGATAACTCAACTGAAGGGGTATCTAAATTCTCATCAATTGTTTTTTTCTTCGAATAACACGCCTTTGAGGAAATGGATCAATATATTATTTAATAGCAATTTCTTTAGCATTATTCAAAGCACTATAAAATCTAGTATCTCTATACTTTTTCAAAATATGAAATCAACTCCTTTAATTTTTCCATAGCAGCATCAATAACCATATCATTTGATTGCAAAAGCTTGCTAACCATATTAATTAATTGTAGAAAATATCTCAAACCATATAATTATTGACATTAAATCACCTAGCTCATTTGTTGCTAAGGATTTAGCTTCACTACTTAATTTAGAATCAAGATCATTGTCTGACACTTCAAGTAAACCTTCTCTAAAATCTGACATTTGACATTTTATAGCTTTGAAACTATCTATGTGACTCTCTCAACAAGTGGATGACAATGCTTTCAAAGTTAACACTTTTACATTATCTTTCAAAATTTGCCATCTCTAAGTAGAATTAGCAAAAATTGTATATATGCGTTTTACGACTCTAAAAAATTCCTTAACTTTATTACAAGAATAAGCCATATCACGCAATGTCAAATTAAAACTATGACAACCACAAAGGAGTATAAAAGACTCTCGGATTTATGTCTAAAAATTTCTTTTGTACACCTTAATGTTTTCCTTTCATATTTAACCCATTGTCATATCTTTGTCCCCGTACATCAAATATGCCAAGACCAAGATTTTTCAATTCTTTTGTAAAACATCAAAAAGTCTCTGACCGGTTTTGTATTCATCATTCACATTTAAGAATCCTAAATAAAAAAGATTCTTCAACACTAACAGAATTTATAAAGACATCCACATATCTTATTATCAAAGACATTTGCTCTTGGTTACTAATATCAGGAGTACAATCAAGTATCACAAAGATATACTCTGCTCATTTGATTATTTTTTTTTATTTAAGATTTCATTTTTAATTGCAGAAGCAAGCAAAAGTATTAACTCGTTTTGGATGTTATGCCCAAGATCAATGAAAGTGTACATCATCATTATGTGATATGTCTAACGTGCTCTTGGATAATTGGATCAAACTCGGCTAACATTTCAATCAAGCCCAAAAAATTACCATTGCTATTTAATTTCTCGTTTGAACCACGAAAGGCCAACTATGTTTAGCAAGGAATTTCACTATTGAAACAATTCTATTTAAAACATTTTTCCAGTGATCCTTTTCTTTCTCAATTAGTCTTTGGGCCGTTTTATCAATAGTTTTATTCTTTTTTAGCCTTAGACGCAACTCATACCAAGTTGCCATATTATTAACATGTTCAATACCTGTTATGCTACTAAATTCCTTTTTGAGAAATAGGGAGTGTACTAAATTCCTTTCATCACAAAAATTATGCTACTATATTGTGTTTCATTTTCAGACGTCTTTAAACAAATTTCATTTCTACATGTCTACATGCATTTGTTGCCACTATATTACGTTGTCATAACTCCATCATGTGAATCAAATCATGTTCAGCGCATGCATATGTGTCAAATTTAACCATGTTAATTATAGGATGGAGGGAGTAGCTAATAAGCGTTTTTCAAGTCATAAGTCATATGTCATACGGAGTAATAACTAGTTTACGGAGTATGTCCTCATCCAAGACCTTGTGAATGTTGTGATACATAGACAAGTTTCGCTAACTTTGACAATACAAGTAGTCAACGAAAAGGCAAGTGCAATGCCTGCTGAGTGTTGACGATGAAATAGATTAAAGGCATGTAAGTCGCTTCTAATTTTAGTCATGTATGTATCTTGCCAAGAGTCGTTGTCTTTAGGCATCTCATGATCTAAAAATTATTCTAATTATAAAGGAATGTCAATGCTAAATTATGCTCTAATTTATGTGTACTTTAGATTTGGGTTATCCTTTAGGATACTAACGTCATGTTAAAGTAGAAATGTATATGATTTCCACAGATCGATAACATATGTTGTGTTCGAACTTGTATTATATGAACTTATTAGAATTTATCGATCTGAACTTATCAACCATCATCGTGTTGGATTTATTTAATGGCCCTTATATAATAATACTCCATATTATTTGAATTTATTAACCTCTATATATCTTAATTAACTAATCGAAACTTATTAACTCTTTCTTCCTATGTTCCACAAATATTGCAACAAGAATGATATTACGCATTTCAAATCACATTTTACATGCTAAATATATATAATTATATAAGAGTAAAAATTATAAAAAGTTGGTATTGTGAAAGTATTTTACGAGACGAATCTAACAAGATCCCACATGACTATATTTTACTTTACGTATAAATCATAATATGTTGTCAAACAAGCATGATGAATATGTAAAAGTCCAGTTGTTGCAATATTGCTAGAATGGAGGAAGTATAATTTTCGCCATTATTTTAACTTATAACTTCGTACTTATACCTTATTTAAACAAATATGGAATAAGTGAAAATAGGAAGACAAAAAGATAGGCTAATTGAACTTGTTAATTAAGTACAATATAATTTTATAGTTTAATTAACAATGGCATGAAAGTTTTCATCTTTATTCTTTGATCGGGTGGCTAGTCATTGTTAATATAATCAAACAAAGATTTATCTACTAAACAATGATATAATTTCTTGATATTTTAATTTTTTTTTTAATGAGTAAAGTCTGTTTTAAAAGTCTTCTCCACACTTAGACTAAACCGTTATTGAGCCCTATATAACACCCTTTTATTCGACAAAGTTGTAGAGACTCCAACAACGAACACTTGAACTAAAAAGATCGAGTTATATACATCGTACCTCATTTTTAAGTCTTGCAAAGGAGCTCAAATGGCAAAGATGGCAACAATTCGAGAAATCCGAAATTCCCAAAGAGCAGATGGTCCAGCCACTATCCTAGCCATTGGCACTGCAAACCCACCCAATGAAATGAGCCAAGATGAATTTCCTGATTTTTACTTCCGGGTTACTAAGAGTGAGCATATGACCAATCTCAAGGAGAAATTCAAGCATATGTGTAAGTTTTATCACGTGATCTTTCTTCATGTTAACTATTCCCTCTGTCCCTATTTTTTTTTTCCCCCTATTTGATTTTTTACGGTATTCGAGACGTGTGTTAAAATATATATATATATCTACAAATCTATAAGCGTAAAAATTATAAAAATTTAATATTAATAAAATATACAGTTTGAAAAATATAATAAGATGGTACATGACTATATTATCTCTTATATATTAATGAGAATTTATGATGAAAATTTAAGTTGACCCAAATATTAGGTATGGGGCAACAACATGTATATTAACTTTAAGTTGCCTTTGTTTTCTTTATGTGGTTTAAATTTTTACCAATTGTACAACAATCAATTCTATAATTTTATATGAAATTTAATTTAAAGTATTGGGTAAATTGACATAGATCTAAAATTGTAGTAGAGCATCAACAATAGCAAGTTATATCCCTTGTAGCTTTGGCCTGTCTCATCATTATTGTCAAGTTAAATTAATCTAAGCTATAATCTCTATAATGGCAAATTACATCCCTTGTAACTTTAGTGGATCCCACATGTTATTAAAAATTACCAATTTTTTATTTATTTATTTTTTTTAATAATACCACAATACATTCAATTTATTGGATAACACATGATTTGATAAATGTGAAAGTTTCACCAAACCTACATCCCTTGTAGCTCCACTCCACAATGGTAAGGCACGTAAGCTACTAGCTACAACTCTTGATAAGTTGCAAGCTTGTACTTATTTAATACTACCATTGTGGATGCTTATGATACCATCTAGTTTAAGTGGACTAATTATATACTCTATCCCTTCTTTATAGAAAGAAACGAGAATTAATTAATTGCTATGATCTTCACAGGCAAGAAATCAACCGTCAAGAAGCGATACATGTACCTAACGGAAGAATTATTGAAAGAGAACGCGAATATGTGTGATTACAACACCTCATCTTTAGACACTCGCCAAGACATACTAGCAATTGAGGTGCCCAAACTTGGGAAAGAGGCAGCTATTAAGGCCATCAAAGAATGGGGCCAGCCGCGGTCCAAGATCACCCACGTCATTTTCTGCACCGTATCAGGTGTATCCATGCCTGGGGCAGACTACGAGCTTACAAAACTCCTCGGCTTAGGGCCTACTGTTAAGCGCTTTATGCTCTACCAACAGGGTTGTTATGGCGGGGGCACGGTCCTCCGTCTAGCCAAGGACATTGCAGAGAACAATCGTGGAGCTCGTGTGTTGGTAGTCTGCTCAGAAATGACAGTAGTTGGCTTTCGAGGGCCTACTGAGACACACTTAGACTCGATGGTAGGACAAGCCCTCTTCACTGATGGTGCAGGGGCTGTGATCGTGGGTGCTGATCCAGATGAGTCTGTCAACGAACAACCGATTTTTGAACTTGTATGGGCCTCCCAAACCTTCTTGCCGGGTTGCGAAAGGGCCATCGCAGGACAGCTGCGACAAGTAGGATTGACCATTCATTTAGCAAAGGACGTACCAAAGTTAATATCTGACAACCTTGAAAAAACATTGGTTGAGGCTTTTAAACCTATTGGTATAAATGATTGGAACTCCATCTTTTGGGTTGCTCATCCTGGAGGTCCTGCTATCCTAGATGAGGTGGAAGCCGAGCTCGGCCTTGACGAGGACAAGCTCAGTGCAACTCGGCATGTACTTAGCGAGTTTGGAAATATGTCTAGTGCTTCCGTATTGTTTATCTTGGATGAGACAAGGAAGAGGTCGTACAATGAAGGCAAGGCTACAACTGGTAATGGGTTGGATTGGGGAGTCTTGTTTGGGTTCGGGCCGGGTATTACTATTGAAACTGTTGTGCTCCATAGTGTCCCAACAAAATTAGCTTGATTGAGGCAACATCCGATGTATTGACACTTTATAAGACCAATGCAAATGTATTGTACTCTCTATGTTTCAAATAAAAATACTTCAATTTGTAATTTAGAATAATAAATATTGTAATACATTGGATATTGTAATTTAGAATAATAAATATCGTACTTTGTATATAAAACATCAATTTGAGAGCAATTATTTAGTTTCATAGTAGTACTAGACTACTAGTTATTATTGTTCCTTTTTAAAATTACATAGTTTATATTTTATAGCTCAAATAATATTAATTGATATTCAAAGTAAAACTCGGTGTATCGCCCGGATCACACACTAAAAGGTAACAAAACATCACCTAAGAATATTAATGTAATCACCTTAGAATATTAACGTAATCACCTAAGAAGATACAAGAGTATTTACAACTAGGGTCAAGAGAGTGCAACTAGTGAGATATTAAAATGCCATTATGAGAAACAAAAGTGATTCTCATGAAGAGAAACTAGGGCTCACTCATTATCTTTATCAGTTGATTAATATAATTAATGTGTCATTTAATTTATTAAATTCACTTTTTACTTATAACCTATTTTGTACTCCATATATCATTCTCCATAATTTCCAATAAAACTAGTCTTTTATGTACGCGATGTGTGCATAAGTTAAATTAACTAATGAATTAGAGCTTTATTATTGTTAGTTTGATGTCTATTTTTATAATTGATTCGCCTAATTACATTTGCATGTTCATATACCATCCATTCATCCCTTTGTTGTTACGCATCTTGGATTGTAATTTCGTCCATATACATTTATATTTGAACAGCATTATTACTAACCCTATAGTGACATTTCTGTGACTATAGTTACTCGATGAATTAGTTACCTCTGCTATATAACTAACATTGAATTTGTTAGTTGAGATGAACTACTACAAAAGGAGGGGGGGGGGGGGGGGGTTGAATTGTAATGGGTTCCTAAGTGGCTACTTTTTGCGGAATTAAAACTAAATAAAATAGGAACTTGCAAATCACACAGGAATTTTATGAGGAAACCTTTCAGCGCCCAACTCGAAGTAAACCGTCGACCCTCAAAGGGATTTCAAACCAAACCAATCCACTGTAATAGGGCAACACACCTAGTTACAACCTATTTAGCACAGGCCTTTACACATAAGTTTCAGACTGAACTTATTACACAGTAGAACCCTATTCTACCAAACTTAAGTCCCTGACCTAAGTTCACTCGGCACTCCCAGAGTACTCACAACTCAGCTTCACACTAGAAGCCTACAAATTGTATGCAATGACTCAAACAATCACCCAAATATCAAAACAATACAAATGTTTGATTCTAATATGAGATTGGAAAGCTACACATGAAACCCGAAACTAATATGACAAAGCTTTAAACTTGGCAAATTTACTCTTAAGCACAATACTGATTTTCACGCATAAACTCTCAAGTTATATCAATTATGATCACTCCTTTATATACAAGAAACACTTGTATGTAAAGTAGGGTTTTTCAAAAAGATAAAATATCAAAACTGCAGTTTTATAAAACCCAATGTGAAAGGAATCATTTTTTGAAAATCTATTGGAAAATCAAACAAAGATAAATTTAGAAAAAGATTATTATTTTGCAAACCAGATTTTATAATATAAAATCTCTCAAAGATATTTTCCATAAATCAAAACTTATCTTTTTTAAATATTCCATTTTTACTAAGCTTGCCAAGCTTTGTCACGTTTCTAATAGATCTCATGGACAATTAACCAACTCATATTTACAACAATCCTAAGAAAAATAAACTTAACAAAACCTTATTAAAAGTCTTCCAAGTTAATTACCGAATTGCCTCCTCAAGCTTCGCATAGTATGAATACTTGGGCTCTTTGCAAACTAGGACTGAGTTTCTGTTGTCTTCAACCCTCCAGCTCTTTGCTGAAACTCGTAGATCAAGTTCTTATGAAACTTGATGTCTTCAACGCAGTCCAAGCTAGTCTTCTTAGCTTGATGTCCAACTCCTATTAGGGAACTTCTCTCTGTATTCCTGTTAGGGACCACTTTTAGTTCCAATGAGGAACTCTTCTTCTATTCTCTTTATCTTTCCTTTATTTCTCCTTGGATCTTCATAGACAGGTTACTCTTCCACTCCCTGAGTCAACTTCACCTGTTCTAATTCAATACTCAGAGAAATCGCAATAGTTGAAGTTTGTCTTTCCATCATCATCAAAACTACTTAAGGTTCAATAACTTCCCCCTTTTTGATGATGACAAACTTAGAAAACTTCGAGCAAGAAATTAAATAGGATAGAAGGTTCGTATTTTTGAATTTTTTTAACAAGAAATTAAAACACACAGAATATAAAAACTTAAAGCATACAAAAAAAAATATACACAACATATCAAAGAAATCTTTGATACTTTATCAACTGGAACCCAAAACAACTACACTTCCAAGTTTGCTTCTTCTTTTCCCCCTTTTGGCATTATATAAAAGTCCTACAAGCAGAGTTAGACATCTAAACACAACCCCACAAGCAATTCATCGAGTGTGGGAAACTGAAGGTAGCGCTGGCTAGCACCCTTTAGCCAAAACTTTCACACAATCCTGCACATACTTTTATACTCTACCATGTAGACATATATATAAACAAAAGTTCCAAATTAACATAAAAACCAAAAGTAACCATCCTGTTTTAACAAATACAAACCAGAGATTCCAAAAACCAAAATCAAACATAAATTGTTCATGACTTAAACAGAAATAAGAAAATGGCTAACTATAGACACTTGATTGTGTCTCCCCAAAAACCAAACCCAGTGATGAATACCTTTCACGTCTTTGATTATCGAATTAGGTAAAGAGTTGAAGAGTCTCGTGAAGTTCCCTTAAGACTTAACCATATTTCTAATCTTACCTAAAATTTTTTAAACCCAAAATCATTTATTTCGTGTCTTCAAACCCAAAATCATTCATTTCGTGTCCTTAAAATCATTCATTTCGTATCCTTAAAATCATTCATTTCATGTCCAAACCTTAAAAACTTCCAAACCAGATTATTTGGGTCCAAATCTCGGTCTAATTATTGTTTAGTTGGATGGGGTTTGAAAAGATCTTTCCAACGATATATTATAAGCCCAAATCCGACTTATAACGAAGGAGTTATGGCCAAAATACTAAACCGAGCCCGAACCAAGCTTTACCTGCAACCCAATGATCATGTGGAGGGTCCATTTACCTTAATCTCATTCCTAAATTAATTAGGATTTATTACAAGATTCTAGAATTTTCTAGAATGTTCTAATTTATCATGTTTCTAAAAATAAATATTTGAGAATTTGATATCGAATAAAACATCTTTTTTTCGATGATCCTAATCCCGATCAAAATAGAATGCGTACGGGAATTAGATTGACCCAATTCGATTGAAAATTGGATTTTTCACGAATTCTATCGTTTTCAAAACCATCGCGACAGAGCCATTGCGCCGCGATGGAACCTGTTTTATTTCGATTCAAATTCGAATCTCTTTTGATTGCTTTGACCCGCTTTTTTTTCTTATATATAGAGGTCGTATCACCCCATTTTCAATCACCAACAATCATCATCAATACCTTTTATAATATTCTCTCTCTCTTGATTTCTCATATTCTTAACCTAGCCAAAACACATCCTTGATACTCTCCTCAGCCAAACACCATTCTCCCTTTGCGAGATTTGAATACTCCATGCCCTTCTCGATGTTGCCTTTGACCTCGACGTGAAAGGTTGATAGTTCTGTGGGTTTGGTCACAAATCTATATTTCAATTAATATTGGATTTATTTACTTTGTTGATTTAATCTTTATTGAAGTTACTAACATGTTTATTGTTTTGATAGTAAGAAAGGAGGATCATCAACGTGATTAATTCGATCACCCTTATTATTATTTTGGTTTTGGAGTAAAAATCATGTTTAGAATATTATTTCTAGTATCATGTTAGGATGTTACTTTAATTCCTAGTATCATGTTTAGGATGTTTTAATTATTTCTAGTATCATGTTAGGATGTTACTTTAATTCCTAGTATCATGTTTAGTATGATTTTTTATGATTTCTAGTATCATGTTTAGGTTAAAGATTTGATTATGGTTTTTGTTAGTGACATGTTGGAATTTGTTATTAATCCGTTTAGTATCATGCCTAGGATCTTGCTAACGATATTTTGATGATGTTATCATGATGATGATTGTTGTGTCAATTAATTATATGTTCATGATTGATTGTTATTTCGTGATCACGCTCTTTTTGTAGGTTTAAAGAGAATTTGTATTTGAAATCACGCCTAATAAGATAATTAATAATTTGTATTTGGGATAATATGATTTTAATTCAAGTGATCTCCAATAATAGATTTGATTGTGCATTAATAATCAACCAACGTAGATTAAACAGGTTTATGGCTAATTTGATGTATGTATGTTGATCGAAAAGCGCACATGAATATCATAAGAATTAAGTAGAGGCCTATTTAGGGCGGGTTCAATCTCTTTTAGGTTGGATTTGTACCATTATCCCCGAATATCCAGTCATGGTTCCAGACCACTATAGAGTTAGCGATCTTCGAGATCGTGAGTGGGGTGTAACCTTCACACATGTGAACGGTTTACAAGTTCCTAAAACTTGTTGGAACCTCTTCTATCTCTAGCTTTCTTTTCTTGGAGCGCTACCATGCCTAAAAGCATGAACACAGTGGGGCTCAAAAGGTTGAGTTTGAAAAATCCCCCATAGTTTTTGGCAACTCCACCGGGGAGGATTTCTAATTTTGATTCCTAAAATTTATTTTGGCAATCGATTTAGAATGAGTGGATGAGACTTGAAAGATTTCAGATATTCATTGTGCTAATTTTGATTAACATTGTGGCATAAGCATAAAAAGGTTCACATTGGAAAGACCATCCATAATGCATAAAAACATAGGAATTATACACATAGGAAAAGTCGGAGATATCTTACAACTAAAATCGAATAAACTCTATGAAAAATCGGAAAAAAAATTCAACAATTGGACTTGCCGCGACGCGCTGAAATTATCGCGAGACGACAACGTCCATCGCCAAACGAAAAATTTATCGCGGTGCGATAGAGCTGTCGCTGCGCAATAGACTCTATTTTCTCGCGTCAAGTTCTTGCGACATTG